TAATTGCCATCGTGAACACTACTGATTTTTGAGGTTATGTGCATCAAACGCCAAACCGTATCGCATTTCAGGAGGTTAAATGTTACTGTTTTAAAACCCCAAAAGGGCGGGAAGATATATAAAATTTAAATTGTTATTTCGGTTGTATCAAATCTAAAGCTCAGAACTTTTTTGTACACCTAATATATATATATATATATATATATCAATATATACACACTATTTAATTTTTCGCCAATCCTTAATTGTATTTGTTTTTAGGTCTGGCTATCGTTTCGATTTTAAATATGCTCCTTGTAATACAATTATCGTGCAAAAAGAATTCGATCGTAAAGATACGGACTTCAATTTCGTCTCTGGTTGTTTCTACGCAATAAAACTGAAATCGGATCGAGCTAATCATGTCAGCGAGAGAGAAAATTTTAGCAATCGTAGGAAAATGATCGTTTCTAGAGCGCCACAATTTATGTTGATAAGGATTCTGACTGGATCTCCTAAATTGTCGAGATCTTAGTGTACGCGATATACTTAAAAGAATCGTAAAAGTCGACAGAGTTTCGCACTCGGCGACAATTCGTAAGATGATCAATTGCTTATTATAATACACGCGCTGCCCATCGGTATGACCAGTGATGCGAATTCCGGGCCGCTTGCAGCACGCGATCAGCGCCACCGATCAGCGGCCTGGCGCAACCGGTAGTAACACAAGCATGTGTCCATGTGATTTGTTAGAAGCGGTTAATTAGAAGCGTGCCGACTATATCGCTCTGTCCTTTTTGCACTACGTTCTTAATGCTTGCCTTGTCGGCGCGCTGAGAACAAGAGAGAACCTTTCTGTCATTCAAGCAAGCGTCGAGCCGGTCGAGCGACCGAAATATGTTTTCTCGGCTTCTCAGCTCTCGGCAGTCTCGGCGTCAGGCTTATATCAAGAGACATGGGGGCATGGGAACGTTCTAGATAATACATAAATTTTAATAAATTGTAATAATCATATACCTTTCCCATTAATCCAGAATATTATAACATAAATCGTGTCAAAACGCGATAGTTGACAAAAGATTAATTGTTTATGATTTTCCATTCATGTTATGTACCACGGTCATAAATTCGATCCGCAAGAAATTGGCGTGGTCGAGCGCATAAGGTGTGAGATCGGAAATAAGTACTATAATTAGTAGTAAACATATATGTGTATAAATATATAAATATATTTTCATATAATTTTTGAAATTATTCGTATGTGTAATTTTTAAGCAATAGTTGTAGGAAAAAAAACCGATTTCATTTTGAATAAGCAAATACAAAATTATTTTAAAATTACACAACATAAGGTTGTGTAATTACAAGCATAATTGAAAGCTTTCAATTGCGCACTACAAAATTATATTGGTATTATCTTTATTTATATTATTAGTAATCTCGTTTTCGAAATTTTGTTTATTAACAAAATTTTAAATGCGGATGTGATAGTTAGAAAGAAACATTTTATACAAAATATTGATCGACACGAAGCGTATTTGTCATAAACGCAACACCATTAAACATGTTTTTTTTATATGAATCTTTCATCGATCAAGTCGAATACATACCATACTAGTACATGTCGAATCATTATTTTTCCTATAATTTTTTATTTTAAGTTACACGAATAATTGCAATTGTTATACGAAAATATATTGTTTGATCTTATACAGATAATTAATTAAACTATTTATATCACAAAAGTATATTAAGAGAAAAAAAAGAAAAAACAGGATTTTTGCGTGAGACTATCAGCGTACTGTCCGTACATTTTATTTACTCAGCCACATCGATTAATTGAGTTTGACGTTTACTAGTGATAGATATAGAATCCTCACGATGAACGCTCTCGTGTTCTCGTATTCTCAAGAATCTCGGATTGTCGATGCAACGCGCGATATTATTAACAAAATATCACTCTCTTTCTCTACACTTTCCTACATATTTTAAATATTAATCGGAATAAAGTGAGGTATTAGATATTATTATGATACTTCTGTTGCATACTTAATGTTGCATACTTCTACGAAATACGCAACATTAAAATTTGTGAGTGTAAAAGTATTTACTCTTGGCCAATATGTATTGCAATATTGATTGGGAAATGTTAACAATTTATTTACATTGTCCAATCAATAAATTTTCTATTAACACACACACATACACACATACGAGGTCTGTTCAAAAAGTATCGCGAATTTTGTGTTTTTTCAAAAATTATTTATTTATTCATGAATATCTATTTTGTCCCCTTCAAAGTAATCCCCATCAGATATTATACACTTGTGCCAACGTTTTTTCCAATCCTCGAAGCACTTCAAAAAATTATTTTTTGTGATCTTGTTCAGCTCCTCCTTCGATGCCGTCTTTATCTCCTCAATCGTAGCGTAGCGTCGTCCTTTCATGGGCCTCTTCAGTTTCGGGAACAAGAAAAAGTCACAGGGGGCCAGATCTGGGGAATACGGTGGCTGCGGCATCATTAGTGTGTTGTTTTTGGTCAAAAATTCGCGCACAAGCAACGATGTGTGAGCAGGGGCGTTATCATGGTGCAAAAGCCAATTTTTGTTCTTCCACAAATCCGAGCGTTTCTGGCGGATTGCTTCGCGCAAATTGCGCATAACTTGCAGGTAATATTCCTTATTGACCGTTCTACCCTGTGGCAAGAACTCATGATGCACCACGCCCCTGCAATCGAAGAAAACTGTAAGCAAAACCTTCACATTCGACCGAACTTGGCGCGCTTTTTTCGGTCTTGGCTCGTGCGGCAGCTTCCATTGGGATGATTGAGCTTTGGTTTCCACGTCATAACCATAAACCCATGATTCGTCACCAGTTATGACCCTCTGGAGCAAATTTGGGTCGTCGCGGACAGAGTCCAACAGCTCCTTAGCAATGTTAATGCGATGCTGTTTTTGGTCGAAATTGAGCAATTTTGGTACGAATTTCGCGGCGACCCGTCTCATGCCCAAATCATTGGTAAAAATCGAATGGCACGAGCCAATCGATATGTTTAGGTCCTCAGCAACCTCTCTAACGGTGATTCGACGATTGGCCAATACTATTTTCTTCACTTCATCAATGTTTTCGTCTGTTGTTGACGTGCTCGGGCGTCCGGCACGCTCTTCGTCGTTCACATCTTCTCGGCCCTCTGAGAACATTTTGTACCACCGATAAACGTTGCTTCGGTCCAAGGTAGCTTCACCATATGCCACAGTCAACATTCGGAATGCGTCCGCGCACTTAATTTTGTTTTTCACACAAAATTTGATACAGATTCTTTGATCCATTTTTTGGAATAGGCAAAAATCGAAGACGAGCCAAAACACGTGCAAGCAAAACAGCTGTCAAAAATTAATTGAACATTCAAAATGGCCGAACTTGTCGGCATAAGTGAGAGACATGAGTACCAACATAACGCCACAAAAAATCGAAAATCGAATATACGTCACCCGCGGAAATTCAAAATTCGCGATACTTTTTGAACAGACCTCGTACACATATAATCACATGCACAAACGCTCGGGCTCAATATTTATTAATAAATTGATTTTTTAATTTTACTATTGTTTAATTTTATTTTTTTTAGTAATAATTGTAATAATTATAATAATAATTTTGGGTAATATTCCCGGAGCCAATAGTGGCAGTGGTGTCGCGAACACTATGGCCTCTTCTGCAGCCTTCTCCGCGACCATCTCTGACTCTTCGTCACCAGTGAGGAATTATGCCTCTTGGTGCATACCATAATGCACGGAAGTGGCCATATCCTCGTCTATTTCGAACTAAAAATTCATTTCATTATTTTGTGTATTAAAGTATTAAAATATGTTGAAAAATTAAAATAGTTTATAAGGTATTTGTTTGAGATCCCGTCAGCTCGCTCAATCATACCGTTGTCGCCATCTCACGGTCGCCCGTGAAGCCCAGGGGGACAGCTCGAGCGACCGTGCGATGGGGTGTCGAGAGCAGGGACGGGGGCAAGGGAGCCTCCGGGCCGGGTTTCTCGAGTGAGGTCTTTTGGACGTGTATGTCGCCGGCGCGCACGCGCTCTTCTTTCATTCGTTCGTTAACGCTCTCACTGTGAAAGGAATCTCTCCAATAAACTGCTCTAAGTGTGATCTCGATTAAGAGTCAGCTCGTTACAACCTGTGCATTAATTAGGACTGCTCATGGTTCTGTGCAAGTTCTTCTCAGCATTAGAGTGCTTGCACGATTGTAGCCGGTCATCCGGCTCAACGGGCAGTACATTGGATCGGCCTTGCGCGAATCATCAGACTGCTCAATAGAATTACTACTCTCACAACTGTGCAAATACTGTAAATAACTCTGATTATTAAGTAAACCCTCTTTTTATGTAAAAGTGCCTGCTCATTTTCCTTCATCCACGCTGTATGTCTTTCACATTCTTTACGCCGCACTCATATGGAATTTCTCGAGCGCTCTATCTCCATTGCTGAGTCGGGCGTAAGAGAGTTTTCCGAACATTTGGTCCTTCGAGCCGGATACAGCGTGGTGAAGTGACGTGTAATATTCGTTTTGCAAACATTAACTTTCACGGTGTGCAACGGAATTTAGTGCGTACATAGTGATTACGCATCGTATTCGTGGCGCAAGGACGCTCGCCGCCCAGCGCAGTTCATCCGCCAGTGTTGCCACGGCGTGATCACGCATCACCGGAGTGACATTCTCACGGGCAAATCAACAAAATATTTTTCACTTTCACCTGCTGCTCTCTCCGTGCCCCGCTCATCATGGCTGACAAGGAAAAAACCTCCAAGTCAGAGGCGGAGGAGAAGCAGCCTTCAGGCCGTCAGTCTCCTGCCACGCTCACGGTGCCTTCTCAACAATCCGCTCCCAAAGAAAAGGCCTCTGGCTCAATTCAAGAACGAAGCTCATGCCAAACCTCACCAGCTCGCCTGCCAACGGAGCTCTCGATCAATGTGAAAACTCAAACGAGCCGTTTTAACACAATTCAGAACATTGCAGAGACACAGCTCATCAGTCTCACTGACGCCTCATTGGATGAGATCAATACCTTGACAGCTCAATTAGACGAGGTTCACTAGGGAACATGCCTACTTCGAGGTAACGTGGCCAGAGGCTCATTTGGATCACCATTATTTTACAAACAACATCCACGAAAAGGAAGCTCACCACGTGCTCTCAGCCAAGCTAATGCTCAGTCGTCTCAGGCGCAACCTCAGTGGAGCATCCTCATCTCACATAGTCTCACGTGATCCGGAACCACAAGCACACTCACGGCTTCCGGATATTAAGTTGCCAAAATTCAACGGTGACTATGCGAACTGGCCTTCCTTCCGTGAGCTGTTTTCTGCGGTAATTCTACAACATGCGAAGCTCAATGATGTGGAGAAGCTCCATTATCTCAGAAGTTGTGTTCAGGGTCCAGCCGAGCAACTCATCCGTGGCCTGCCTCTCACCAGAGACTCTCTCCAACCATCATGGGATCTGCTCACCTCAAGGTATGAGAATAAGAGACTAATCATGCAATCTCACCTTGACAATCTCTTCAGCCTCGCTCACGCTTCATCAAAGAGCGCCGCCTCACTCACCAAGCTAATCTCAACGGTCTCTGAGGCAAATAAGGCCCTCCACTCACTGGGAATGACGGAGTACATGTGGGATTGCTTCCTAGTTCACCATGTGTCACGCTTCCTTGACCGAGACACAAGAGAGGCATGGGAAACGTCGTTGGGATCCTCTCAAGAATATCCTCGCTTTGCTCAATTTGAGACCTTCTTGAATGCTAGAGCGAAAGCACTGGAGAGACTTGAAATCACACCAGCTCAATTAGCCAGCCCATCGAAGGCCACACCAAGCTCGTTCAAATCATCTGTGAAGAAGGCGACCGCTCACCAAGTGACAGCTCAAGCACAGACTCAATCATCCTCGTCGACAACTTACCCATGCGACATGTGCAATGGGCAGCACTTCATCGTCACGTGCACAAAGTTTAGAGATCTCACGCCAGCTCAACGAAAGACTACTGCGATTGACAAGAGGCTATGCTTCAATTGTCTGGGGCGACATAATGTCCGCTCATGTCGTTCCACGTTGAGCTGCAAGACGTGCTCAGCTAAGCATCACTCAATGCTGCATGTCGAGCAATCCTCATCCTCGTCAGCTCCAGTTCAATCTGCCTCCTCATCCGCTCAATAGGAAGTTGGTGCAATCGTCGAGGAATCTGCTCAAGGGTACTCAGAATATTCAACGCTATTGGCAACTGCATTAGCGCACATCCACTCATCTGCCTCAACTCATCAAGTTCGGCTACTCATCGATCAAGGATCTGAACTCACCTTCATCACGGAAGGTCTCATCAGACAGCTCAACATACAACGTCGCCATTCAACGATTTCAATCATTGGCATTGGTGGAACTACTCAAACGAAGGGTGTTGTCACACTCACTCTTCACTCCAATCATTCAAAGCACACTGCCAAGATACAAGCGCATGTTTTAAAAACACTGACGACAATTCTACCATCATTTGAAGCGCCTCAACAATCGTGGCCACACATTGAGAAGTTGAAATTGGCAGATCCACAATTTCTCATTCCACGTACAATCGATCTCATCATTGGAGCAGATGCATACGGGCAGATCATCAAGCCCAACATTATCAAGCAATCTCCTGAGATGCCAATCGCACAGCTGTCTATATTCGGCTGGTTGATACTTGGTCCCATACTCTCATCATCATCACATCCATTGACTGCACATCACATCAAGATTCAACGACATGACTCAGATCTTCAAGAATTGTTGACAAAGTTTTGGATGCAAGAAAAATTGCCAGCTGATCATACGACACAACTCACACTTGAAGAACAACAATGTGAGGATCACTTCAAGGCCACTCACTCTCGAGACTCAACGGGACGGTACATTGTACGCATACCACTCAAGCTCTCCGCCAGTGTCTTAGGCAACTCATACAACACAGCTCATCATTGTCTTCAGCGAACTCTCAGACGACTCAACAAGGACAGGGAATACCAGAGCCTTTACACCAAGTTCATGACTGAATATGAACAACTCAATCACATGGTGAAAGTCACATCAGAACCCTCAGGGAATGTGGCGCCATACTATCTATCTCATCATGGCGTACTCAAACCCGACAGCACAACAACGAAGCTTCGGGTCGTTTTCAATGGCTCGAGTCCAGCTTCATCAGGATATTCAGTGTGATGATGAATGATCTCATGCACACCGGTGCAAACCTGCTGCTCGATGTCTCAGACGTCCTCATGTGGATCCGTGGCCATCGTTACATCTTTGCCACAGACATAGCTAAGATGTATCGACAAATCAAGGTACACCAATCAGATTGGGATCTACAGCGCATTCTGTGGATTGACGAACATCACAATGAAACATCATACTATCTCACCACGGTCACTTATGGAACGAAGGCTGCTCCATTCTTGGCAGTGCGGACACTCATACAACTTGTTGAAGATGAAGGACATCGATTCCCACTGGCAGTGCCACCAATCACTCATGGAAGATACGTGGATGACATCTTTGGTGGTGCTGACACAGTGGAACAACTCACAGAAATCGCTCATCAACTGGAAGATCTCTGCCATGCGGGCGGGTTTCCTCTCACTAAATGGCACTTCAATCATCAAGATTTATTAAACGCAATCTCATTGACGGACTCAATCACCTCATCAGTCTCACTTGACGATTGCGCAACCAAAATTCTCGGATTAAGATGGCTTCCTCAACAGGACGTCTTCACATTCGCAACAAGCTCAACATCTCATCAAGAGCAATTCACAAAGCGTGTGTTATCTGAAGTGGCACAGATATTTGATCCATTTGGTTTTGTCTCACCAATAATCATTAGAGCCAAGATGCTTCTACAAGAGCTCTGGCTCCACAAAATCAACTGGGATGATGCATTGCCGTCTCAGGTTGGCTCACGGTGGCTCAACATCAGAAAAGATCTCACAAACCTGGCCAGGTTCTCAATTCCACGTTGGCTCAACACAAGTAGTGACTCAAGCATTGCATTACATGGCTTCTCTGATGCATCTCAATTTGCCATGGCTGCAGTCGTTTACATGGTCGTGCTCAAGCCGTCCACTGGCGCCAAAACTTCTCTCATATGCTCAAAAACGAAGGTAGCTCCTTTGAAGAGGCTCACTATTCCAAGAGCTAGAGCTCACAGCAGCGCTGCTTCTTACAAAATTGATTAAACATGCCCATACCACACTCAGGATGGACATCAAGAGAACATATTTATGGACGGATTCTCAAGTGACTCTCACGTGGATCAAAACACACTCATCCCAATGGAAGGATTATGTGCGAAACAGAGTATCACAAATCCAAGACCTCACGACACATGCTCATTGGAAATTTGTTCCAGGCACAGCCAATCCTGCGGACTGCGCCTCTCGCGGTTTAACAACAGCTCAACTTGAAGATCATGAACTGTGGTGGGCTGGACCACCATGGTTGCTACAACCTGATCAATGGCCCACTCAACCAACTGGCTCTGAAGAACAGTGTACAGTGGAATCACGCCCAAGAATCTCACTTTTCACAACCAACATGAAAGTGGATTATCATTGAGATCTTGTTCACAGATATTCATCTCTCAATCGACTGCTTCGAATTACAACTCTGTGTCAAGGATTTGTCCTACGATTAAAAGGACAATATGATCGCTCACGGGCTACATGCATCTCAGTCAATGACATCAAGAAAGCCAAGATCTTCTGGATAAAGGCCACTCAATCAGCATTTTTTGCTCACGAGCTCAAGGTTCTCAGCTCACAATCACACCTGCCAACCTCTCATCCTTACAGTCGTCTCACAGCATTTATCGATCATCAAGTAATTGCTCGTGTAGGAGGACGGCTCAGCAACTCAACACTCACGTATGAAGGCAAACATCCAGCAATTCTTCCTCGCCATTCAAGACTGTCTGAGCTCATCATTGACTGCTCTCACAAACAGACATTACACGGCAGCACGCAACTCACATTAGCTCATATCAGGCAATCTTATTGGATCATCGGTGGACGAGCTCCAGTGAAATCTCATGTTTTGCGGTGTGTGGTGTGTGCTCGACAAAGGGAGGTCCGTGCACATCAACTGATGGGCCAACTACCTCTGCCTCGAGTCACACCCACACGTGCATTCACTCATACTAGCATTGATTATGCCGGACCACTCACACTCAAAACATGGAAGGGAAGAGGAGCGAAGACTCATAAAGGATGGATTTGTGTGTTTGTCTGCCTCACAACATTTGCAGTTCATTTGGAAGTTGTTTCAGACTACTCAACGGATGGATTTCGTTAAACATACAAGAGATTTGTGTCAAGGAGAGGCATCCCACACTCACTCTACTCCGACTGCGGGACGAACTTTGTTGGAGCTGATAAATCGCTCATTGTTCACACAGAGCTCTCAAGAGAATCAACACATCTCAGCTCTGCTCGCTCAAGATCGCACTCAGTGAAATTTTAATCCACCGTTTGCCCCGCACATGGATGGCAAATGGGAGGCAGTGGTGAAATCACTCAAATACCACCTGCGTCGTACCATCGGAGAAACCTTGCTCACTTTTGAGGAAACGATAACCCTGCTCTCCCAGATCGAGGCGATCCTGAACTCACTACCTTTAGAACCACTCAGCGATGATCCAGATGACATCTCAGCACTCACCCCAGGACATTTCCTCATCGGAAGTGCGCTTACAACGGTACCTGAGTCATCTCTGGAAAACATAGCCATCTCAAGACTATCACGATGGCAATTCATACAGCAACGAGTACAGCAATACTGGTCGCAATGGTCAACACAGTATCTGCAACGACTGCAAGCTGTCTCAAAGTGGCATCATCCATCAAATACCATACAAGTGGGCTCATTGGTGCTCATCACAGATGAAAGGTTTCCTCCATGCAAGTGGCCATTGCTGCAATGCCAGGAGTGGATGGACTCACCCGAGTGGTGACACTTAAGACACCCAATGCAACTATCACCAAACCTATCACCAAACTCACATCTTTGACAACTCTCACCAGACCAATTGCCAAGCTCGTACCTCTGCCTATTGCTCACCAGGACCAAGCTTAACGACTATAGGAGGGGACTCATCATCAATCCCATTGCTAATGGCGGGCGGGAATGTTTGAGATCCCGTCAGCTCGCTCAATCATACCGTTGTCGCCATCTCACGGTCGCCCGTGAAGCCCAGGGGGACAGCTCGAGCGACCGTA